AGAAGGATTACCAGGAGTCTTGTCAGAGGCTAGGACCACGATGAATGTGTAGAATTCTCGGAAGCAAGAACTTAGGAGTAAGTAGGTGAGTTTGAGTAGTGAGGATTGAATGAATTATGAGAGAGCAAACCTCTGTTTATATAGTGAACCCAAGGAGTTGGAATCTTAGTAGGACATTGAGTCATACTTTGGGAGATAATCACTATTAGGAAAGAAATAGGATCTCTTGCCCTTATCAAATTAAGTTTACTAGTTTTAGTAAGATTCAAAATCTTAATAGGAGAGGAAATATAATGGGATTCTGATTTTCTATTTATGGACTGTTGCAGGCTAATGGGTCGGAACCCAATTTAGCTTAACTTGTAGGATAGGCCAACTCATAAAGTGGGCAGTTGTGACTTTAAAAATAGGCCTAATCAGAATTGGGCTAAAGCCTTGGGCCGTGACATATTTATTTCGTTATTGGGCCTCGTCAGGTTGAAAACAATTTTTTGCCCATACAGTTAGCCCCAAACTCTCTAATTAAAGGGTATTTAGCATAGAAAGTAGATTTAATCGAATGAGTGTAGATTGAGCGGATCAGTGCTAGCAACTTGTTAGGTCGGATGGACTATTGTTTGGAGAAAATTCGCTCGACCAATTTGAGTTGGGAGGAATTTGCTCGATTAACGTAAAATGGGAGGAGTTTGTTCGACCAACCAGAGTTTGGAGAATCATGGAGGTTTGCTTGACCAACTTGAGTTAGGAGAAGTTTGCTCAAACAACCGGGGTTGGGAGAAATATGGAAGCTCGCTCGACCAACCTGAGTTGGGAGGTGGCAATATCTTGAAGAATGTGCTAGTTCTTTCATAGGTGAAAAAAAGTAGGAATCATAGCCTTTTAAGAGTTGAGTCAGTTCGACTTGATTCATCCAGGTGTGGACTTGGACGAAGTTTGGTGGAATCACTTCAAGATGGTGATATGTACCTCCCACTAGACTTGGCTCATGCTGATGAGTAGACAGTGTATGCCGAGTTGGCATGACTGACTTGTAGTTGAAAATCAATGTATTAGACCTTGTGGCCAAGTCGGCGTGACCAACTTATAGTTGAAATTCAAAGCATTAGGCCTTGTGGCCGAGCCAGCGTGACCGACTTGTAGTTGAAATTCAAAGTATTAGGCCTTGTGGCTAAGTCAGTGTGACCGACTTGTAGTTGAAATTTGAAACATTAGGCCTTGTGGCCGAGTCAGCATGGTCAACTTGCAGTTGAAATTCAAGGCGTTAGGCCTTGTGGCTGAGTTGGCATGACCGACTTGTAGTTGAAATTCAAGGCATTAGGCCTTGTCCTGTGAGGTTGATGGTGCATGACCGAATGAGCTTGTATGGAGCTGGTCTTTGAAGCTAGAGGTTGTTCACATGAGGCTGTCGATGTTTGTTTGAGGGTGACTGAGCCGAATGGAGAAGTGACTTATAGCATGCATATGCAAGACAAAATCAAGAGTATGCTAAATGGAGAAGTAATAAGTCAAATGGATGCATGCGGTGCAGGTGTCTAGCAATAATCCGAATGGAGAAAGAATAAACAAAAGAGAAAAGTAATAAGCCAAACAAACTCATGGCCAAATGAGAAGAATGCATGGGATGCATGTGTTGAGCACTAAGTCAAATGGAGGTGAATGAGCCAAAGAAGGGCACTTACCGAATGAGGTGTTTGGTGACTTGTCCTGCTGCATCGCCTTAAGCATGCTGAGTGAATATGAGAAAGCTTTTCCCCTTTATGTGTTTTGCCCACCGAAGATGGCGAATTCTAGGTCTTTGATGAAGAAATGGCGCCATTAGCAAGTGACTCTATTGAACATTTTAACACCAGTCACCAGCTCTGATCATAGAAGAGAGAATGCAATGGTTCACGAAGTGGGGGAAAAAAGCAAAGTATCTTTTGGTGAAGAGGTGTTGAGTTTGGATTGGTTCGAAAGAAAGAGAGTGAAGAGGGAGAGGGAGAGAGAGCAAGAGAGTGAATAATGATAATAATGAAGACTAGAGAGAGAGCGAGTGAATAAGTTAGTTTTTGGTTTGTGAAAAGGTGTTTTTCAGTTATTTTTTCGTCGGTTAATGGCGAAAGTGAAAAATGCCATTTATCAAGTGTGCCAAGCTTCATTTATTTATAGGATGATGGAGAGGGGGGTTTTCAAAGAGAATTGTTGGCGAAATCTGTTTGGTTTTCCTTTGGATGGCGTTGGGAGAAAAGCTGGTGCTTTCAAAGATAGATTACAAATTTATGCTTCAGAGGGTGGAGTTCTGCTATTTATACCCCAGTAGACTCCACTCGGTCTCGTGGCAAAGCCAAATGGGAAACAGAGATTGAGGTAGTGAAAACTGCTTGGGACTACACGATTGAGTGAAATGAAGTCTTCATGATAGTTTGATGGTTCAAGTGCTTTGAGAATTGTCTAAGTTGAGCCTTGTTTGGTGAGCGCAGGGTAGTGTCAAGTGGAGAAGTTCTCCATAAATTATTCTGAATGCAATCTAATCATGTGTTGATAGAGTCGATTAGAGATGGAGAAGATAAGGAATATGAGAACGCTTTGGCGTATGTGTCGGCCGGGTCGAGTGGAGACAGTCCAAGAGGTAGATGATGTTGGTTGAAGGGAGTTTCGTGTCTTCTCACATGTTGCAAGTCGTCGTTGGCAGATGATTATCAGGACCCCACGGTGGGTGTCAAATTGTAGATGCAAAAAATCTACTGTTACAGAAATAAGGTATGATCCCATGAGGTTGAGGCCACTGACAATCCACTGGACCTACACACATGAAGAGACAAGCGTGAAGCTTATGGAAAACATCGGGGTGGTGTTTATAGTAGGCACTCTGATGCTCAAGTTAGCAAGGATGAAAGAGAATATTTAATAAGAGTTAAGGAGAAGAAGGATTACCGGGAGTCTTATCGGAGGCCAAGACCATGACGAAGGTGTAGAATTCTCAAGAGCAAGAACTTAGGAGCAAGTATGTGATTTTGAGTAGTGGAGATTGAATGAATTATGAAAGGGTAGACCTCTGTTTATATAGTGAACCCAAGGGATTGAAATCCTAGTAGGACATTGAGTCCTACTTTGGGAGATAATCACTATCAGGAAAGAAATAAGATTTCTTGCCCTTATCAGATTAAGTTTACTAGTTTGAGTAAGATTCAAAATCTTACTAGGAGAGGAAATAGAATGAGATTATGATTTCCTATTTATGGACTGTTGCAAGTTAATGGGTCAGAACCCAGTTTAGCTTAACTTGTAGGATAATCCAACTCATAAAGTGGATAGTTCACAAGATGACTTTAAACGTAGGCCCAATCGGAATTGGGCTAAAACCTTGGGTTGTAACATGTTTATTTTGTTTTTTGGCCTCGTTAGGCCCAAGACGATTTTTTGCCCATACACTCATGTAATCAAAGATTTGGATGATTGAGTTTTATTTGTTGGGTTTTTCCCAAATTAAAAAATAAATGGCACCAGCCAAATTTTCAAAACCCATAAACCCTTAAAATTAATTCTATGTCCATGCCCCTTAAAAATGTTTTAGAGTTCCCGGATGCTCCTAAAAGTCTTGAGATTATTCAAAAAGGACGTCAATTTCAATTTTTTGTTCTCGTGACAGAAAGAAGTAATCAAATAATGTGTTGAATCTTTCATAGTTTATAATATTGCAAACCATGTATAGAAAAAAAAAAAAAAAACAAGGCCTGCAACTTAATATTAATTAATAATCAAGAACCGGTATGCAGTTGCATGAAGCATTTTTTTGAATTCATTTCTAATTAACTATATATGTTGTATGATAATTAATGAGCAATAGCAAAAAGAATATGAGTGCTTGGTAAACTATCTTTGAAATCTGAGTTTTAAAAGCTACATAAAGTGCTGGCTAAATTTTAATTCTAGAGTTGCCACGTGTTTAAATTAAGGAGATCAAAATGAAAGAGTTTGTTTTATTATAATTTATGCTATGCAAGTATATATAAATTAACATTGCAACTTGAAATGACATTTACATTTATACTATATATTTACTTTTAAAATCTCAAAATCTGACTCATCGAGGATAAACAACGATATCACTGCTAACACTAGTAGAATCTTGCACAATACTAACAGGGATGATGCGTCGTTCACTATATCATTTTCAGTCAGGATTCCAATGGTGTATACATAAATCAAGAAGTTCAACAAATCCCCTCAAATTTATGAATAAATTGTATGTTAAGATTTGAATTTTAGACATTTAACTCTATATTATACAAATATTTAATCGAAAAACTTAAGGTAATGAAGATAAGAGTCTGATATTAATATTTAAGTTCAACACTTACCTGGAAATTAGACTAAGCTACAACAACAAAGAACAAGTTGATAAAAGTGGAACACTGTCAAGACTCGGTCTTTCCACATAAAACGATACCCCCATTGGCAGTAATTTTGCATAGAATTTCAATACATATAATAATGGGAAAAAAACATAATATAAGACATGTAATTTTAATTGACTAATTCATACCTAAATCACTCGGTTTTTCATCTTTTCTTATGTCTTAATTATTTGCTAATTATTTGGCTTCTTGCTCTTATATCACAAACATTATTATTATTATTATTAAGGTAAGAAATAAATAAATGAGGCAAAATCACCGTACAAAAACTTATATCACAAACATTTAAATCATCAAAATGTACAACATTGGAAAGTGTCTCAGAAACTGAAGATTCATGAGGTATAATATTTGACTACTTCAAGATATAAATTTGTGCAATATTAATGGAGACAATATGTAAAGGAAGGTGGGATCCCGCTATCTATTTCTCAATTAATAGGGTTTAAATAATTATAATAATTTTTGTCAAAGATAGGAAAGTTCTTCCTCCATTAAACAATTTGCTTTCAAGCTTGAAGAGATTACTATATAAACCCTCTTCATTCTGTGTTGTTATCATTCAAAACTTGTTCTTCATCAATCTCTAAGAAAGTAGGCAAAATGGCCAACATTTGGCCTCATTTAATCTATCCACTGGCATTTTGCTTGCTGGCTACTAATTTAGTAGCTGCTGATTACAAGCCTTACACTTATGATTCACCACCTCTGTCGCACTATGTTTATAAGTCGCCACCACCTTCGGCGTTTGCACCACGTTATTACTATAAGTCGCCACATCCATATTGGTATAAGTCCTCACCGCCACCTTCTCCATCACCTCCTCCTTACTACTATAAGTCGCCACCACGCCCGAAAAAGTCGCCACCGCCTCCTTATTATTATAAATCGGCTCCAACTCCGAAAGCATCCCCTCCATCCCCATTTTATAAGTCGCCACTCCCACCATCACCTCCTCCACCTTATGTTTACAAGTCACCTCCTTCTCCATCTCCCTCACCAACTCCTTATGTTTATAAAACTCCACCTACACCATCTCCACCTCCTCCTCCTCCATATGTGTACACGTCTCCTCCTCCACCATCGCCATCTCCTCCTCCTCCATATGTGTATAAATCACCACCACCTCCCTCCCCATCACCACCTCCTCCTTATGTTTATAAGTCTCCACCACCTCCATCACCATCACCTCCCCCTCCATACAATTACAAGTCTCCACCACCACCTTCTCCATCACCTCCTCCTCCTCCATATGTCTACAAGTCACCACCACCTCCATCACCATCACCTCCTCCTTCTTATATTTACAAGTCCCCACCACCACCATCTCCCTCTCCCCCTCCTCCGTATGTGTACAAATCTCCTCCACCACCATCTCCGTCGCCTCCACCTCCATATATCTACAAATCCCCCCCTCCACCATCTCCTTCACCACCTCCTCCATATGTTTATAAATCGCCTCCACCTCCATCACCATCGCCATCACCTCCTCCTCCATACATTTACAAGTCTCCACCACCACCTTCTCCGTCACCTCCACCTCCATACATTTACAAGTCACCTCCTCCTCCTTATGTCTACAAGTCCCCACCTCCTCCATCTCCATCACCACCACCTCCTTACTATTATAAGTCTCCTCCTCCACCATCTCCTTCACATCCTCCTCCCTACTATTATAAATCACCACCACCACCTTCTCCGTCACCACCGCCACCTTATTACTACAACTCTCCTCCACCTCCCAAGGGTTACTACTAAACATATCACACTTTATTCTCGGACCATGTCTGCTTCATCAATGTGCATTGTTAGCAGACAAATATTTGTTCACTTACATATTTTCTCGAGAAAGATTTGTTTAATTGAAAGCAATACTCGATTGCTGGTACTCAAAATATCTTGAAGAAGGCAACTCTGTAACTTCTTTGGAGCATTTTACTTACATTCACTTGTACTTTTGAGACAGTTTATTTCTATTTTTATTCAATAAATTTCTTAATTATTCAACAAATAGTACTAGAAATTACAATCTCAAATGGGCTCTTAAATTTGTAAGCTCACTTGTTAAGCGATTGTGACAAACAAAATAATGTATGGTGAAAATTCTCAGGCTTCAAGCATTCGTATTTTCTTATAATTTGGTCAAACGGTTTATTTATTTATTTTATCATTAATTAATTAATAGTAGTAAACGGTGGTGTAAACAAGAAAGAAAAAATGCAAACATAAATACATTAAAGAATTAATGAGTAACAAAATGAAGATATTGTTTAGTTTATATATAATATAAAGGTCTTTATATATTTAAAACGGTAAAAGCTAAGTCCTTTTTAAATCAATAGTATATAATTAATAATTTTGTGAACGTACGTACTACAAAAGAATCTTAAGTGATCAATTTATCGCATTCCATACCTCGAAACTCTAACAAATAAAAGTTTGGATGAGTTTATAAATTTCAAGTCCCTTTAATTAAGTATACAGGTGTTGGTCAAAGGACAAAAGTGCAAAAAGTTCAAGTAGCAGGAGGAAAATGCAATTCTGCAAGACGGTGTCGTTTTTTATTATAATAAAATCAGTTGTAAAACTCACTTTACCTTTACTCTGTGTTTTTGTATAAAAGAGTAGAATGTTCAACTTAGTCTATCAGTAAAGAAATTCAATCACATTTTTTTCTCTATTTTTGTTTGTTCGCAAACCCTAAGCTAATCTTACATGGTATCAGAGCGCTGACTAACGTCAAATGGTCTCAGATCCTGCTCTCTCTCAGTCGCTTAACAGCACCGGGAAGATGATTCTGAATTGCAGAATCAAACTACCTCAGTTCTTGCCTCAAGCTTGCAAGTAATCAATCTCAAGCTAACGAGGAACAATTATCGGTTTTGGAGCTCTCAGGTTCTCTTTGTTGTTGGCTCACATGAGTTGGAAGATCACTTGTTAGGTAGAGTGCCTTGTCCTTCTCTAATTTTGATTAATGATTCTGAGGTAGAACTTAGTAATACTGTTGAAGAAAGCTTAAATCCAGCTTATGTTTTGTGGAAAAAGACTGATAAATGCTTAGTGAGTTGGTTACTAGCTTCAATTAGTGAAAGCATGTTTTGTGCTGTGTCTAAGTGTAGATTTTCCAATGAAATTTGGTTAGCCTTAGAAAACGAGTTTGTTACAGACTCAAAAGCTAGAGCTTTACATTTGAAAAATTTGCTTCAAACAACTCATAAAGGAGGATTGAGTATTAGTGACTATGTGAAGAAAATGAAAGAAATTGCAGAAAGCTTAGGTGCAAATGGATTGATTATCTCTTATGGAGACTTGTTACAGTATGTGTTAGATGGTTTGGGGCCTGAATATGATCCAGCAGTAATGGCACTTACCTCTAGACTAGAATCAAAAGTTGATACTGTAACTCTTCAAGAGGCACATTTTCTGTTACAGAAATATGAAATACGGCTTGAGAAGTTCAATTCCACAGACCTGTATAATACCTCAGCAAATATAGCCTCTATAACTAATCATGGATGTTATAATGTGTCTGGTACAAGTTCACCAGTAAATCATTCTGTCAAAACTGCAAATAACCTTAGTGGTACCATACCCTCTCTAATGTCTCTTGGGAACCCACATACCTCACAAAATTATGTCACCCTACCCTCCTATGTAAACTCACCTGTTCAGTCCCCTGCCTCACCTATTCAGTCTTTATTCTCTGCCTACAACACTACCACTCAACCTTAGTCTCCTGGTCTAGTTGCTCATTCCCCTTTACCTTACAACATTATGCCCTTTAACCCTAGGTCTTCTGGTGTTAACACATATGGAAGAGGCAGGTAGAGGCATAGGCAGAGGGAGAATTATTTGTCAAGTCTACAATAAAGTTGGACACTCAGCCATACAATGTTATCATAGATATAACTCAGCTTATAATGGTACCTTTCAAGCTGGCAATGTCTCATCCCAAAGCTTTCCCAGTCACTCATTCACTGATCCAATATCACAACACCACTACAACACTTATCCTACTAAACCAGTACAGTATGCTCCTATTGATACCTCATAGTAGCATCCTGATAGTACCTTTCAATCATAGCAACAACATTACACCCCACAGTAGTCACAGTACACTGGCACCCCTAAGAATAATTGTAGTACTTCAACAACCTTTGGAGTTCCTAGTCACCAAATAGGAGTAAATAGTCAAGCAAATCTGGTTCATACTAGTGGTAACTCAACAGTGTATCCTGGAAGTAATTCGTTTTCAACTCATGGTTGCATAGCACTATACAACAATTCACAGGCCTCTGTCACCACTCCAGTTGATCCAGCATGGTATATGGACTTTAAGGCAACTGAGCATGTAACTTCCAACCTGTCTCAGCTGAACATTAGCAAGAACTATGAAGGTGAGGATAAGCTTCAGGTTGGCAATGGTGAGTACCTTCTCATTTCCCATACTAGTCGCTCTTTTATTCCTAGTAGTCTTCATTCCAAGTGTCTTTATCTTAAAAAAATATTTTGCGTTCCTAAAATCACAAAAAACCTGCTGAGTATTTCTAGGTTTACAAGAGATAATAATGTTGTTGTCGAGTTTGATGCTAACTCTTGTGTTGTTAAGGACAACTCAACCAAGGCCATGTTTCTACAGGGGGGTCTTAAAGAAGGACTTTATCAACTGAAAATTCCACCGAACACCATTGCCCTGTCAAACCATGTGTCTCTTCTCATCAATCTGGTCTGACTATAGCTTATCTATCACAAAACTTGGCAGCCATTGCATATTTTATGAGCCCTTTAATCAAAGACTCCTCTCAGCCTTTCCATAAACTTGTGACCACTCCTTAATTGTCCAACCAACATCTAGAGTTAGTTGAAAATGTCAATAAAAATTCTAATGCAGTTTTGAATGTTAGCTATAATAAAGATTCTGCTTCTACAACACAATGTAATGTTTTTTGTTCTAGAAATGAGTCAAAATGTATTCTTGTAGAATCTGATGCTTGTCCTACTGTTAATACTAATAAAATACATGATGATGAATTCTTATTTGAGTCTACTGCATCAATGATTGAAAACACTGCAAATTGCCCATCTAATGAACAAATGTCTGCTGTTACTTTTTCTACTGCTGGTTCCACACCAAATTGCTTGATTATTGACAAACATTCACATCAAAACATGATTTGGCATAAAAGATTAGGTCATCCCAACTAAACTACATTACATAAAGTTTTATCAACACTTCCCAAGTCTGTTTTTCCTACTAAAAATCAAAATCTGCCTACCAAATTGTCTAATTTCTGTGATGCCTGTCAGCTAGGAAAGTTACATCAAAGTAGTTTTCCCTTGTCTCAATCTCATGCCATAGAACCTTTAGCTCTAGTGCACAGTGATGTGTGGAGTCCTGCCCCAGTCACTTCAGTAGAAGGATTTAAGTACTATGTGCAATTTCTAGATGATTTTAGTCGCTTCACCTGACTGTTTCCCCTTAGGACTAAAGCTGAAGTTAAATCCATCTTTATTAAGTTTCATCACCTTGCTAAGAGGCAGTTTGGAACTAAGCTAAAGTGCCTCCAATCAGATCAAGGAGGTGAGTAGAAAGCTTTACTTCCTTACCTGACTGAAAATGGTATTCAAACTAGGTACTCTTGTGCCTATGTTCACCAACAAAATGGCCGTAGTGAGAGGAAACACAGGCACATTATTGAAACAGGACTTACCCTATTAGCTCATGCCTCTATACTTTTAAAATACTGGTGGCTGGCATTTGAAACAGTAGCTTTTCTCATCAACCAACTGCCCACTACTGTCTTAAATAATAACACTCCCTATTACAAGCTTTTTAATAAATATCCTGTGTATGATAGTCTTAAAGTCTTTGGCTGCTCTTGTTTTCCTTTTCTTCGGAATTTTCATAGTCACAAATTCGACTTTCATTCCTCAAAATGTGTATTTGTAGGGTTAGTTTACTTCGCAAAGGTTATAAGTGTTTAAGGGCTGATGGGAAAATCTTTATTACCCCTAATGTTAAATTTAATGAAAATGAATTCCCTTATTCTCAAAAGTTTGATAAGTCCCCTGTTCAACCTAATTTTGATCTTTCAGCCAATTCTACTAATGCCTGTTCCAGTAATACTTCAACATTGCCCTATATAATTTTCCAGCATAGCCCATCTTCAGCAGATTCTAATCCCCGAGTAGTAACTGGTTCTCAAATTGTTCCTAGCAATCCAACAGTTGGTACATACTCTTCAGCAGCAGGTACATCCTCTTCACACTTATCTAATTCATCTTTACCTAGTACCTCTAAAATTGCTGATAGTTCTAGTCATAATCCAGTATCTCAACTACTTGTCATTTCTTCATCCAGCAATTTTCCAAAGTGTCATATTGAAGTTGTCTTAGTTATTCCAATACTAACATGTGATCCTGCATCTAATTGTAAGGTTTCTAATTTAAGTCCACTTCTAAAAACACACTCTGGTAGTTCTAATACAGATTTACAGATTGCTCATCCATCCTACCTTGTTCTTCTCCATCTCCATTACCTACTAGTCCATCATCATGTGCTCTACCGAATTGTCAACTTGAGGTTGACCTTACTGTTTCACGGTTCACTAATGTTCAACTTCCTGCTCCTATTAATTCACACCCTATGATTACAAGAGCTAAAGCTACTGCTGGTCATGTTGATTCAACCTGTGAGTCCTTGGATCATGTTGTTTATCTTACAGCCAGTCAGTCTCTTATATAATCAGAACCTGTGACAGTTGCTGAAGCATTAA